TTTTCGTCAAAAGCTCTTAGATGATTCTTTCCATTGTTGTGTATGAAGCACCTGCAACCAAAGACATGAAAATAACCAATACTCGGAGTTTTACCTTTCCATAGCTCATATGGTGTCTTGTTGTGAGATTTGTTGATCAGGGATCTATTTTGAGTATAGCATGCCGTGTTTATGGCTTCGGCCCAAAATCTCTTTGGTAGACCTGAGTGCGAGATCATCGTTCGTGCAGCTTCTTTTAAGGTTCTGTTTCTCCTTTCGGCCACTCCGTTTTGCTGAGGAGTTTGTGCTGCCGAGAGTTGATGGAAGATACCATTTTGCGCACAAAATTCCTTTATGACCTTATTGACAAATTCCGTTCCCTGATCAGATCTTATACGAATTATTTTGGTCTCCTTTTCTGTTTGAAGTTGTCTCAGAAGATTTGGAAGAGCTGTTTCTATTTCGTTCTTCTTCTTCAAGAAAAGCACCCATGTATATTTTGTGTAGTCATCTACAATAACAAGAGTATATTTTCTCCCACTTAAACTTGCTGGATCTACTGGTCCAAAGAGATCCATATGTAAAAGACTTAGAGAGCGAGAATTAGCATCTACATCTTTTGACTTGAAGGATGACCTGAGTTGCTTCCCTTTTTGACATGCCTCACATATTTTATCTTTCGTGTAAGATACTTCGGGTAGCCCTCTCACAAGATTTCTTTTAGCAAGCTTGTTTATCGTCTTCAAGTTCAGATGACTCAGTTTGTTGTGCCATTCTTGATTGAGATCTGCATTACTTTTGGCCACAAGACAAACATTGGCGTTAGAAGAATTTAAGGATATTACGTACATGTTCTTCTTTCGTTGACCCGTCAAGGCTGTCTTGCCATCTTTCGTGTTCACGATCTTGCATTCATCTTTGGAGAAATTTACATGGTATCCTTTGTCACAGAATTGACTTGTGCTTAAGAGATTGAACTTCAGTCCTTCAACATAAGACACATCTTGTATTGTTATTCCCTTTTTGATGATGTCCCCTTTTCCACGAGTTTTGCCACTGTTTTCTCCTCCAAAGATAACTTTGGGTCCATCTACTTCTATAAAGTTGCTCAACATTGTTTTATCACCAGTCATATGTCTTGAGCAGCCACTATCAACATACCATATGACCTGTTTTTCCTGCATCAAAGATTATGTGTTTTTAGGTACCCATTTAGTTTCGGGTCCTTGAGGGTTAGCAGTTAATTTTGGAACCCACATCAACCTTGAGTATCCACGACTCATCCTTGGTCCTCTGTATCCATTAGATGTACGATAATCATAATGAATACTGGCAAAGACTTTAGCATTATATCTTTTGCGAAGATATTCCTGAGGAGGATTCTCATAATGCTTGAGATGATTAGTTTGTTTACGCAGATGAACCTTTTCAAATACTGCTCTAGGGAGAGGCTCTGGGTAATCAAACCAATCTTCTTCTGATGGCCCAGTCCATCCATTGCCATACCTAGATCTTTTGAAGGATCTTTCGGGTTGTCTGATTTGTCCGTTCTTTGACTTTCCTTGAATGGGATTCTTTCGTGTGACTTTTGGACGGTATTGCCTCTGGTTAACATTCGTCTTTTTCTTGGATCGAGTATTCCTGTTAGGCTGACCTCCTTTATGGTTTAGATCTTGTCTATTGCCATTTGGTCCATTCCTTCTGACATAAATTTGTCTAGGGTTGCCTTTAACAGTTTTCTCTTTTCCAGATTCCACAACACGTTGTACAGCCGTTCCTTTCGGTTGGCTTGTTGTTTGTGGTGTTTCGACATTGTTAATTACCATCATAGGCTCAGACACCTGGGTGGGTCCTTGAACAAATGCAGCCTCGAAGCTTTCGTGTGAATATGCATTCGTGGATTTGTTCAATTCAACTTGTGAAGAGGAGCTGGGGTTAAAACCAATTCCGGTTCTTTCCCTGGGCAGTCTGGATTCATTCATCATTCTGTCCATTAGATCGGATGAATTATTGAATTTATCCAAGACTTCAAGCAGTTCTTGCTCTCTCTTATCTTTTGCTGTGCATTGCTCCTTTAGAGCGAGAACATTTTTCTCAAGTTGCTCCTTAGCAATGACTAGCATGTTGTTCTCAATACGAACTTGCTTTAGTTCATTATAGCTAATCATGAGGCGAGAGTTTTCCTCCTTTAGTTTGGAGTAAGTGCTATTTATTACCTTGAACCTCCTCATCATTTCGGTGACAGATTCATTGGAGGTTTGACTTCCCACAGAACTTGACTCAGCAGAATAGCAAGAAGATGAATGAGAGTTTACCTCATCTTCACCTGCCATGAGGCACAGTTCGTCTGACTCTTGACTGAATAGGCATAGCAGTCCTTTCTCCTCATCAGTGTTTTCGTCTTCTGAGCTTGAACTTGAGGAGCTACTTTCGGTTGCAACAGTGTCAGAAGTTTCGTTCACTACCATTGCCTTCCTTCTTCCTTCATTTCTGGAATTTGATGATTCTGGCTTGTCGCTCCTTTTATGTCTTTCTCCAGTCTCTTTTGAGTGACTTGTGGTAGTGTTGTTATCTTGATATTTGCTCACAATAGGATGAGGACAGTTCGCCTTGAAGTGTCCTGGCTTTCGGCAGTTAAAGCACAATAGTTGCGAGTCCAAGTTCTCGATTTTTGAGCTTTGAGGGGAACTTTCATGCTTCTTTCGGTGGCCCGATCGTTGTGGGTCTTGAAAGTTGTTCTTTCTCATGAACCTCTTCATTTTCCTGACAAATAGTGCATATTGTTCATCAGATAAAAAATCACAAGTGTTAGATTTCGACCTGTTGGATGTTGATGCTGATTGATTTGCCACGAGAGCAATGTTTTTTGTTTCTGATTCTTCAGCATCTTTTGGTTCATGCTCGAACTCATATGCTTTGAGATCACTGAAAATCTTGGTCGTGCTTGTAGTTTTCATATCTCGGTTATCCCTCATCGCAATAACCTTCATTTCCCAAGAATCTTCAGATTCATCTCCTTTTCAGTTGGCTCTTTCCCGAGATCTGACAGATCGCCCATAAGTCTGGTGAATCTGAGTTCCATCTCCATGATTGTCTCATTTGACAGCATTTTGAAATCTTCAAACTTCTTCATGGCCATTGTCAGTTTGTTGTCTTTTTCTTGCTCGTCTCCTTCTCCCAAACTCATTAGGACATTCCACACTTCCATGGCATTCTTGCATTTTCGGACCCTGGGAAACAAGGAATCATCCAGAGAGTTGTAGAGAATATTTCTTGCCACATTATCCAAATTTGCCCTTGTTCTTTCGTTCGTGGTATACTGGTCTTTCGGCTTTGGTATCATCTGTGCAGCTCCTGCTCCCTGTGCGGCTGCTTGTGCATTCGCCATCATGACCGTAATTGGTCCGGTTGTTATGACGTCCCACATTTCATCATGAATAGAGCATAGGAGAGCCTGCATTCTTAATTTCCAGTCATTAAATTTGGCAAGACTAAAGGCAAGTTGCTTAGAGCGATGTGCATGTTCCTTTTCCATTTTACATAAAAAGCGTGCAAAGAAAATATGCAAGATTTTCAAGAGATTTTTGATAGGGGATCTACCAGGCAGTAAATGCAAAGCCTTTACCGAACAAGGTATTGGCTCTGATACCACTTGTTGGTCCCGATAGAATGAAACGAGAGTCTAGAGGGGGGGGGGGGGTAAATAGACTCTTTTCGCGAAAGCCCTAAATGTCACCTTTCGGTGTTTTGGCGCAGCGGAAAAGCCAGATTACATTTAAATACTTTTGCACGAGTTTATGAAATTAAAAAAAAAAACTTTCGGTTAAGGGTGATGATTAGAATGATGCAAATGCAGAAATAAAAAGCATAAGTAAAGGGATGGAAGGAACACGAGATTTTATAGTGGTTTGGCCAACGTTGCCTACTCCACTCTTATTCCACAACTTATGGAAGGATTGCACTATCACTCCTTAGCACAATTACACAAAGACTTCCTTGATCATTAAGCCGGACAGCCTTCGTAGGTTTTTCAACTTCTCGAGTTTACTCCGCCTCTATCAACTTCTTCTTCTTCTGAGTTGAGGTTGGTAGAAAATGATTTCTTGATTTCTCCAACGATGAAGTCTTGACTGTGAGAGATGATTGCTTCAAACAAATTGCAAGACTTCTTTTGAGATGTAAGAAAATGATCAAAGACCTTCTTCAAGTAACTTAACACCTCAATACTGGTTCACAAAAGCTTTTGGAAATATAGGAGTGTTCAAGAGCTTTTGCAAGTAAATAAGTCGAGTGATAATGAACCAGCACCTTCTTGGTTGATGAAGGTGGGTTTTTATAGGTGATGAAAATTCATCTGTTGGAGGGAGATGAAATTTTCGAACCTTTTAACTAGTGGACAAGGACCGGGGAGCTTCATGCATTAAATGCTCCATTAATGAGGTTGTACCATGTAGCCGTTGAAGGTATGGAAAGCATTAGAGTTTTGTCCTTTAGCTCCAGGAGATCGTACATCTTCATTTACTGCTCCTTGAAAAGTGTGCCCCGTAAGATGAAGTCCTTATTGTCCTAGGATATTGTCAAATCAGACAGGTAGAACATTCTTCTCGTTGATGAAGAGAAGTAATGCTTGATAGGATTCGTCTTTAACAAAACTGTCCTTTCGTGATAGTTGACAAGTCCAGCTTATCTTTCGTTGATTGTTCACCATGCCTCATGTCTTCTTTCGTCTGGGAGACCCTAACATCTAATCATAACTCATTTTCGTGTGTTTGTCTAGCTTAACACGAATTACAAAGGAGTTATGGCAACTCTCGTCTAGGACGAAAGCAGCGAACGAAAAAGCTAATAGATAGGGGTCTATTTTTCTACATTACATTGGTATCATCAAAATCTTAATACAAGGTTCCTAACACAAGAAGACAGGTACGCTACCTCCTGACGAGGTCGACGCCAAGCTAGTCAAACAACGAGCCCCCACGTACGTGGTCATGGGGGACACACTCTACAAGAGGTCCTATAACGGCGCCTTGCTGCGCAGCTTATACCCAGACGAAGCCAGGTCAGTCATGGAAGAACTCCACGAAGGGACCTGTTCAGCCCACCAGGGGGCCTTTGCCATGTCCCGGAGGGCCATCTTACAGGGGTACTTTTGGCCCAAAATGGCCAAGGAGTGCGCCGACTATGCCCGAAGTTGCGAGACCTGCCAACACTTCCAAGTCACCCCCGGCCGGCCAGCCACGAGCTACACCCCCATCAGCTTGGTCATCCCCTTCTCCAGGTGGGGAGTGAACCTAGTGGGAGCTCTGCCCATGGGGTCGGGAAAAAGGAAGTACCTCATAGTAGCAGTGGACTACTTCACCAAGTGGGTAGAGGCGGAACCGCTGGCAACCATAACAAGTGCCCGTTGCAAGCACTTTGTGCACAAAAACATTTTTGCCATTTTGGGGTCCCGATGCAACTCATCACCGACAATGGACGCCAATTCGAGAGGCAAGAGTTTGAGGGGTTCTGTGCAGAATGGCACATTACTCACAGCCGGGTAGCCGTATGCTACCCCCAAGCAAATGGCAAGGTGAAAAATGCCAACCGCACCATTGTGGGCAGCCTGAAAAAGAAACTGGAATCTGCGGGGGGGGGGGGGGAGCGTGGGTGGAGGAGCTCGACGCCATTCTTTGGGCCTACCGCACCACCCCCCGGAGGGCTACTGGGGAGACCTTTTTCTTTAGCCTACGGTTTCGAAGCCCGAGCTCCAGCGGAGGTGGTGATACATTCCCGGCGGGAGGAGGACTACGACCCTGACACGAACGAGGAGCACCATAGAATTGACCTCAACCTGATTGATGACAGGCGCGAAGCAGCCTCGATTCGAGCTGAAAACTACCAGAGGCAGACCAAGGAATACCACGATAAGCGGGTCCGACCCCGCTATTTCCAAGTAGGTGACTATGTGCTCAGGAGAAGGGAGGCGAGCCAGCCCCAAGCCGGAGGAAAGTTTGCCGCTAATTGGGAGGGCCTGTACATTATAGAAGCCGTGGTCCGCCCGGGCAGCTACAAGCTCAAAACTCCCAAAGGAAAGATGATAGCCAGAGTCTGGAACTCAGAGCACCTACTGAAATTTTACCAGTAGACCTACCACGTGAGAGGTGGGTCTTGGCGTTGCTATTCTAGGAGGAGGACCATTCCCCTCCCCTAATAATGTCTGAGTGAGCGGTAATAGTCGGAATAAAATCGCATATTACCGAGCACATTGTGCGCAGGACCTTTTTTGTTACAAAGTTGGTTCTCATGCATTTTATCTCCCTAAAAAAAAAACGGAAAAAATCGTGAAACAGGGGGGAACGAGTGCTCACTCATGTCTTCCCCCCCGCCCCCCCCCCCCCGGACCCTAAGGGGGCACGAGGTCCGGCCTCGCGTACTAACCCCGACGGAGGACGCACCCTAAGGGGGCACGAGGGACGACCTCGCGTACCAACCCCGACAGAAGAGCACAGTGGTACAGTCCGGTCGGACTGTGCTCGAGCAGCTAACGCGCACCCTAAGGGGGCACGAGGTCTAATCTCGCGTACAAACCCCGACGGAGGAGCCCGGTGGTTTGGTCCGGCAGGACTGGGCCCAAGCAGTTTGGCGCACCGTAAGGGGACACGAGGTCCGACCTCGCGTACAAACCCCAACGGAAGAGCCCAGTGGCGTAGTCCGGAAGGACTTAGCTCGAGAGGCTAACGTACCCTAAGGGGGCACGAGGTCCGGCCTCGCGTACCAACCCCGACGGGAGAGCCCGATGACATAGTCTCATAGGACTTTATTGAAGAGGCTAGCACATGGCCAAAAAAAAAAAAAAAAAAAAAATTAGGCCTAAGCTCCCAGCTCGGCACGCTGCCGAGGCCCACCACGGCTGGTGCCGGGGTGGCCAAAAAAAAAAAAAAAACACAAGTATTTCAAAGGAAGGCAGTAGGAGGTAAAAGGTGGCAACCATCACGTCACCAAAGCAAAGGAGCCAATTGTTCATTCAAAATATTCAAAAACATCCAAGTCTAGTACATCACCGAGGGAGAACAAGGTCGGCTACTTTGAGCTCGGGCCACGTGCGTGAGGAAGGTCGGGGCGCGGAGCAAACCGACCCGGGAGGAGCGGAGCAAGGAGGTGGAGCGGCCCAAGACGTCTCACCTCGGCCCAAGACACCTCGACTCAAGACGCCTCGGCACAAGGCACCTCAGCCATGGTGAGTTCGGCTACATTCGCACATGGAGGTCGGGTCCGGATATTTACTCTCATTCGTTGACTCCTACTCGCAACGAAGAGAGTGGGGGACTCATGATGGATATATTATACCCACGACCCGACCCGGGGTAGCAACATGGACCCGGGGCACCATGGTGGAGCCCAAGAGAAACACGGACCCGGGGTACCACGAAAGTTCCCAAGAGCAACACGGACCCGGGGCACCATGGAGGTGCCCGAGAGCAACGCGGACCTGGGGCACCACGGAGGTGCCCAAGAGCAACATGGACCCGGGGCACCATGGAGGTGCCCGAGAGCAACACGGACCCGGAGCACCATGGAGGTGCCCAAGACCAACACGGACCCGGAGCACCATGGAAGTGCCCCGACCCGAGCCGACCTACGCGGAGCTTGGGGAGCTCGGTCCTACCCGATCTCGGCACCACCCGAGCTCGGGCCCCGACCCAACCTGGTCCGCCCGGGCCCGGTCAAAGTGAGATCTAACCACCCCCCAATTTAGGGAGAGGCGGTTGGGGGTTAGCTTGTATAAAAACCCCCCTCATTGTCCTAACAAAGGGCAATTCATTCCACATTATACAATTATTACACACTTTGTCCTACCGAATCTTTGTAATAGCCAAATACTACGGCAATTAATATCATATACGGTCCTCAGCGACCTTTACGACATCGTTTTATATTTCGTTTATTATTTATTATATTGTGTTCTTATCCGGATTTATTGATTCGGGTCCACCCCGGGTTAATTAAATCCATCAGGGAGCATGTGAGTTGTGTTGTTCAACGCCTCTTATACACTACAAAAGATAAGAGTCCTAATCAACGCAACAATATCTTTAGGGCGTATTGCAGTGTCCGGGGAAAAGTGTGCAAACTTATTATTGATAATGGCAGTTGCGACAATATTGTTTCAAAAACTCTGGTGCAGCATCTCGGTCTACAAACACATCCTCACCCTCGGCCATACAAAATGGGGTGGATAAAGGAGGGACCGCCTGTCTCTGTTATAGAAATCTGCCATGTCCCTATTTCAATCGGCAAGAGTTATGAAGATACGGTAAGATGCGAGGTCATTGACATGGATGCATGTCACATTTTACTCGGTAGACCCTGGCAGTTTGATGTTGATGCCACTCACCACGGAAGGCAGAACAACTACTCCTTTGTTTGGAGTAAAAAGAAAATTGTCATCCCACCAGCGGAAACTTCAATGAAAAAGAAAACTTGTGTTGTCACAATCTCACAGAATTGGAAAGACTTTATGGTAGAAGCCAATGAACTCCAGACCATAGTCATGGTGGTAATGAAAGCGTGTAAACAGGGAACCTACCAGCTGCCAGCAGAGCTATTTGATTTATTGTCTGAATTTTCTGATTTAGCCCCTGATGATCTACCGGGATGACTACCACCATTACGCGATATACAACATCAAATAGATTTGCAACCATGGGCTAGTTTACCCAACCTCCCGCACTATCAAATGAGTCCAGAAGAGCACGATATACTGACTGAACAAGTGACAAGCCTCCTTCAAAAGGGACTCATCAGAGAGAGTAAGAGTCCTTGTGCGGTTCCTGCTTTGCTAGTTCCATAAAAAGATGGGAGTATGCGAATGTGCATCGATAGGGGCCGAGCTATCATTAAAATAACAGTGCGTTATCGGTTTCCCATCCCTCGTCTTGACGACATGCTCGACCAACTTCATGGGGCTTTTATTTTCTCTAAAATAGACCTTCGAAGTGGTTATCATCAAGTTCGAGTTAGGCCAGGGGATGAGTGGAAAACTGCGTTTAAAACAAGAGATGGACTCTATGAATGGCTTGTGATGCCTTTTGGGTTGTCAAATGCACCAAGCACGTTTATGAGACTCATGAATCAAGTCCTTCGGCCTTTTATCAGCAAATTTGTTGTCGTATATTTTGACGACATCTAAATTTACAGCAAAAAACATGAGGAGCATTTGGACCACCTGCGTCAAGTCTTCATGACCTTACGAGAAAGTAAGTTATTTATCAACTTGAAGAAATGTTCTTTTCTAACCAATGAGCTGGTGTTTTTGGGTTATGTGGTGAGCAGTGATGGAATACGAGTTGATAAGGCCAAAATAAATGCCATCCAAGAATGGCCAACCCCTCAGACAGTTGGAGAAGTCCGGAGCTTCCATGGTTTGGCTTCCTTCTACAGAAGATTTATTCGGGACTTTAGTGCAATTGCGGCACCACTGACTAATTGCATGAAGCAGGGGAGGTTCAAATGGAATAAAGATGCAGAATTCAGCTTCAATTCACTTAAAGAAAAACTCATCAATGCCCCTGTCTTGGCTTTGCCAGATTTTTCAAAGCCATTCGAATTACAATGTGATGCAAGTGGCGTGGGCATAGGAGCAGTACTCTAACAAGGTGGAAGGCCGGTCGCTTTTTATAGTGAGAAATTAAGCTCAGCACGCGAAAAGTGGTCCACTTATGAGCAAGAATTGTATGTTGTTGTTCGGGTTCTTCACTCTTGGAGGCACTACTTACTCTCTCAAGACTTTGTCATACATACAGACCATGAAGCACTTAAATACTTTCGGAATCAAAAACACATCAACCGTATGCATGCAGGAGGTCTTCCTTCTTAGAACAATTTTCTTTTGTTATCAAACATAAGTCCGGAACCTTAAACTGAGCAGCAGATGCTCTTAGTCGCAGGAGAAATTTATTGGTCATCATGCAAGGGGAGGTTATTGAGTTTGACCAACTCAAGGAGCTATATGTTAAGGATGAGGATTTCATGCAAATTTGGGAGCAAGTTCAATGTCATGCTCCATTTCTAGACTTCCATGTGTCTGAAGGATATCTTTTTAAAGGAACAAAGTTGTGTATTCCTAGAACGTCTCTAAGAGAAAAATTGATCAGGGACTTGCATGCAGGCGGTTTAGCAGGTCATTTTGGTCGAGTTAAGACAATTGCCAGTCTTGAAGAGAGATTTTACTGGCCTCAGTTAGAGAGAGACGTAGGACTTTTTGTGAAACGTTGCATTGTTTGTCAAAGAGCAAAAGGACATTCCCAAAATACGGGATTGTACATGCCTCTACCAGTTCCAGAAGATATATGGGAAGATTTATCTATGGACTTTGTGCTCGGGCTTCCAAGAACACAACGTGGTGTAGACTCTCTCTTTGTGGTAGTGGATAGATTCTCAAAAATGGCACACTTTTGTTGGGGAAAATTGCAACGCCAACGCGCGATCTGGAAGCCTTTTAAGACGCACGGACACTACGGATGTATGGTAGAAAGAAAATCTGTGCCGTGTTATAATAACACTACCTTAAAAGCGTTATTTGCCCGGTAACGGTGCAGTTAGAACCCTGGCACGCTTTCGACCGGCTACACAGACCTACTACGGATAGCTTGCACTAGCAATCGCGTAGGCGAACCTCACTATTGCTCAGACGACGGGAGGGAGAAGGAGAATCGAATAAATGACTCGAATTCAAGGTGTCTTTTGAAACGATGTTGGAAGCTGCTATTTATAGTAAGCAGCCCCTCCATCCCACCCACATGATGGACACAGTGTTTTGTCCACATTTTAGCGCTTTTGGTGCTACACCTTACAAAGGAGCACATTTTGCGCTACCATGTAATGAAATGGATTTTCCATTTCTTAATCAAATGACAAAGTCAAAAGGGGTGAGGTGGACGCTTTCATCTTTCATTTTCCCAACAATCCCCCACAAATTAAAGAGGAAAGGAAAAGGGTAAGGTCTGAGCAATACAAATGAGTTGATCCTAGTGACACTGAGTAATCTACTTCCCGGGAGTGATGTTAATCTTGAGCTCACCGGTTAGATAAATTTTGAACTCGAATGCACACACCAACTCAAAAAGCAGGTTCTACAAAAGTCAAACTCTTTGACTTCTTATGAACACCCTTAGTATTAAAGAGTGTTACGTCTGTCTCAAATATGGACTTCTACCCTGTCAAAGTCTATCACAAAACGGACTTTTAAATGCTCCTAACTATCCCCCACCATTAAAGGGATTTAGGCTGATGCTATCATTGCCTGATAACGATCAAAACAAATTTTCATGCAGTGTATAAAACTTGAACTGTCATATAGTGACATTAAGTACTTCTCTAGACGGGAGTGAATTTGATCTTGAACTCATCGAATAGACAAAGTTTGAACTCAACGCACTTAATTTGCTTTGGTCGCCTTGAATCTCATGAGGTCATACTCACGACCCTGAGATATCCCCTGTTAGGTCTATTCTAGGATAGACCTTCAACTCTGTCAAGTCTACCTCATCGCAGACCACCATGATCGGCTACAGAGTATTTATGGGTCCCAAACCCATTTCCCTTGATGTGTCAAGGACGACCTTTCTGTTTAGGCCCTTTGTGAAATGATCTGCAATTTTCCTTTCAGATCTCACAAAAACCATTGTGATTACCCCATTTATTATTAGCTGCCGTACAGACTCATGTCTGACTCTTATGTGTCTACGTTTCCCATTGTAGACATCGTTTTGCGCAACACAAATGACAGTTTGTGAATCACAATGTGGTGAAGGTGTTGGACACTCCCACAATTACACGGTTATCACCATGTTTCTTAGCCACTCAGCTTCTTGGGATAACCCCATTATCTTTCATAAGAGGCGGTTAGCCCTTTTCTACTCAAGTTAGGGATGTCTTTAGGTCTATCTCAACATAGACCATGGTAGCCCTTTTCCACTCAAGTTAGGGATCGCTTTAGGTCTATCTCAACATAGACCATCCCAATTGAGTATAAGGCACCAAGAGCACTTTGTACTCATGTCATTATGCGGTGAATTCATTAGGTTTGTCTCAACAAAACCACCCTTTCTCAAAGAGTTATGAATTCATTAAGAGCTGTAGCTCAACCTCACATGCGGTGAATTCATTAGGTTTGTCTCAACAAAACCACCCTTTCTCAAAGAGTTATGAATTCATTAAGAGCTGTAGCTCAACCTCACAAGTACACACACTGTCGGAATGACCAACTAGTGTACTATTTTGTAACTCTTTTCATGGCTTCGTTTGACCACAGAAGTGGGATCTACCACGAATTCATTACCACTTGGACTTCAAGTCCTTCCAATGAGTCAACGACTAATCCTCATAATTAGCCCTCAAGTAAGTTGATTCTCTTGACCAAACTTACATGCACTTTGACGAGTACTTCGTTTACTCGTAAATAATCCCTTGAGATTTTCATGTTTAACATGAAACATTCTCTTTCATCATTATTCTCAATACCACAGAGAAACTTTTGATGAAAATATAAGGAGTTTATTACCCCCACAATGCAACACTTACAAATAATTTTGTCAAACGTATTTGATCTCTTACCCAGACTGATATTTGGTGCCCAACTTTAGCTCCTTTGTAGACTGAGTTTTGCCGACTTACTTTGTGGACCATTATAGCAGCTTTGCACTCTGCCTGATACATGCTCAACAGTTGAATATATTTCAACAAACTTGGTTATCTCAATTGATCACAATTACCCTTTAACTAGGAATTATAGGTATTTCAATATGACTCAACCAAGAGTTTAAATAATATATATACAAATGCTCATTGTTAGTAAGCCATAGAAATAATGTTGTCCACATGCTACATCAAGTTGAACAACATAATCACAAATTTCACATCATATTCTTATAAGAAATTAATCTCATACAAAAGGAATATGTTTAAGTTCATATTTATTCGGAATATCTCTCAACAATGAGACTTCAGAGTTGCCACTAGCACAATTTTTCCTTCCCTTAAGGAATTTAAAACTCATATAAAGCATTTATAGGATGCAAATCAATATTACTATTGCAGTACTTCAACAACTTCTATTGCAAGGCTTTGATTGTATTAGCAACATATGAAAGTCAACCTCATTTCAGGTAAAGATCAAGTGGCGCTCTAACTAGCCTGCATGATCAACACCCTACTTCTTAAAAACTCCCAGGTCGAGTGGTGAAACCGAAGTTTACTTAAAAACCATCTTCCTAGACAGAGTGTTCAAGAATGATGACTTTTCTATGTTCTCACTAAATTACAATTGAAGCCTATGATATATGCTCTTATTTTTATACAAATAATTTTGGTAAAAGATTTGAGCAATATCTATGCACGAATTCTTTCAATCAATGTCATTAGTATTCAAAACACTAAAGAAATAAGTACTACTAAGTAATCAAAATCTAGACTGCTCAACTAGAATTCAGTACTAAGATAACCATACTTCATGCGAACCCTTAGAACCAGAGCAAAAATAGTTACTCAAAATAACTATTTATTTAAAGAGACTCAATACTCATCTTGTTCTGTCAGATTGACTTTTGCTGGTTTTGCCCTTGTGATGGTAGCACTGGTGTGCTCGGTGTCATTGCTTTCTGCACGCAAAACACCTTCCTTTAAACTTCTTGATTTTTCTACTCCTTTCGTTGTAGACGGTTCTGACACTTTGATTTTCATTTCCATTGGCACCGTACTTTTCTGACAGTGATTCCCAAATGACTTTTGCCGAATCTTGTTTGACATAGATGTCGAACAATTCGTCATTCATTTGTGACAGTAGGTATCCTCTGGCTGCCGCATTGTCATTTCTGAATTGAGTCAGAGTTACACCCGGTTCTTGACCCGGAATGTAATCTATTTCAGGACTGCTTTCTCTCGATTCTTTACCCGGAGTGTAATCAGGTTCATGATTACATTTTGTAGCACCAAAAGGAGAGAACACTATTGGAGTAGGTTCAGGTGCAACTGAAAATAGCACGTAAACCAACTTTAATTGTTCAAAAAGAATAAGCATTCTTTGAGCCCATCTATTGTAATTTCTCCCATCAAGCGCGGTGATCTTTGATAGATCCGGTATGACAGAAGGTGTCATAATGCTAAAGGTTGACTGTTGCAAATTAACGCTTTTAACTGTTGGGGAAAATTGCAATGCCAACGCGCGATCTGGAAGCCTTTTAAGACGCACGGACACTACGGATGTATGGTAGAAAGAAAATCTGTGCCGTGTTATAATAACACTATCTTAAAAGCGTTATTTTCCCGGTAACGGTGCAGTTAGAACCCTGGCACGCTTTCGACCGGCTACACAGACCTACTACGGATAGCTTGCACTAGCAATCGCGTAGGTGAACCTCACTATTGCTCAGACGACGGGAGGGAGAAGGAGAATCGAATAAATGACTCGAATTCAAGGTGTCTTTTGAAACGATGTTGGAAGCTGCTATTTATAGTAAGCAGCCCCTCCATCCCACCCACATGATGGACACAGTGTTTTGTCCACATTTTAGCGCTTTTGGAGCTACACCTTACAAAGGAGCACATTTTGCGCTACCATGTAATGAAATGGATTTTCCATTTCTTAATCAAATGACAAAGTCAAAAGGGGTGAGGTGGACGCTTTCATCTTTCATTTTCCCAACAATCCCCCACAAATTAAAGAGGAAAGGAAAAGGGTAAGGTCTGAGCAATACAAATGAGTTGATCCTAGTGACACTGAGTAATCTACTTCCCGGGAGTGATGTTAATCTTGAGCTCACCGGTTAGATAAATTTTGAACTCGAATGCACACACCAACTCAAAAAGCAGGTTCTACAAAAGTCAAACTCTTTGACTTCTTATGAACACCCTTAGTATTAAAGAGTGTTACGTCTGTCTCAAATATGGACTTCTACCCTGTCAAAGTCTATCACAAAACAGACTTTTAAATGCTCCCAACTATCCCCCACCATTAAAGGGATTTAGGCTGATGCTATCATTGCCTGATAACGATCAAAACAAATTTTCATGCAGTGTATAAAACTTGAACTGTCATATAGTGACATTAAGTACTTCTCTAGACGGGAGTGAATTTGATCTTGAACTCATCGAATAGACAAAGTTTGAACTCAACACACTTAATTTGCTTTGGTCGCCTTGAATCTCATGAGGTCATACTCACGACCCTGAGATATCCCCTGTTAGGTCTATTCTAGGATAGACCTTCAACTCTGTCAAGTCTACCTCATCGCAGACCACCATGATCGGCTACAGAGTATTTATGGGAAACCTCATACGGTGTATTTGTGGGGAACATATTAAGCAATGGGATTTCGCTTTGGCTCAAGCAGAGTTTTCCTATTATAGCAGTGTACATTCTGCCATTGGACGTTCACCTTT